GGGGAAAGGAATTAAGGATACATTCCTCCATTTGATGATGATATTAAATTAAATGGAATTGTTATTGCTCTAGAAGATCTAGAATAACATTTTATATGACATTGATTACCTGGGAAAATAGTTTAATAAATCAGAGTTTTATTCTGATTTAGAGGCAAAAACTCAAAATTGCAAACACGTATGATAAAGGATAATTTACTAAACGTAAATATAGAAGAAAAAACTGGGAATGATTATTTTTCCAATAGTAGAATATGGAATAGCAATAAAAAAGCCAAAAAGATATTAGAAATTATTAAAAGAGGTAAAAATTGTATATGCACTTAGTCCCCTGTGGTTTATAAAGCACTTTCACATTATTATCTCCCTTAGCCCTTATCAAATCTTGTGAGTTAGGGATGATCATTGTCCCCACTTTACAAGTGAGGAAACTAAGGCTCAGAAAAGTCATGAAACTGGCCCAATATCACCCAATTTGTAAACAGTAGGCCTGGACGCAGATCTAGGCTGTCTGACAGTAAACCCCACAGGCTTTCTGCTATGCCAGGCAGCTGCCCACATTAATGCATTGCCCATTTCTTTCTCTAATATTAAATAGGTCCTACAAATTTGTTGCCTCTGAATACCATTATGATTTACTCTACCTTCTTAAATCTTTAAACCAAGTCTATTATCCCATAAAAACGTAATCCTTCAGCTGTGCTTTATTAGACCAAAAGGTAGGTCCCTCTTGGCCTCTGTGCACCAGATCTGGTTTAAGCATAGTCAGTGTGTATTTCATTTGAGCAAAGCTATTCGGGGTGGATTTTACTTTTTATTTTGTTTTACCTATTTGTATTTTCTGATTCGTTTTTTGTGATAAGTACTTATTGGCTATGTTTTTAAAATAAATGAATAGATGTGTATATTTTTCTCTGTGTCTGAATGTTTGTGTGTGTATTACTTCACGAAAAGATTTAAAAATAAAGGAAGGAAGGAATAAGGAATGAAGAAAGGGAAAAAGACGGAGTGAGAGATGAGAAACCAGAGCAGCCGAATGAGGGAACATTACCAGAGAGGGTTCTGGAAATCCTAAACTTGAATGTCCCCAAAGCTATCTAGTTTTTCTAAAACCCCATAATTCCTGTCACTGAGCCACTTTCTCCCTAAACCATGTACCCTTTAAACTGGCATTTTCTCTATCTGCATAAATCCTGAGAGCCCGTATTGAGGGTGAAGCAACACGGGCAACCTTGCTTCACATCCTAGTTCTGTCACTTACCAGCTGTGTGACTTGAAGCAAGTAAAACTTAATTTCTCTGCACTTCATTTTCTTTAACTGTAAAATACGGGCAATAATGGTACCTACCTGCAGAGGTGATTGTGTGGAGTAAATAAGATAAGGCATGAGGTAGATTTAACACAGTGCCTGAGACATAATAAGAATAAGAAATGTTTGGGTATTGTTATCAACCAATCAATGAGTGTTTATTAAACACCTTATACTGTGCTAATTACTCTTAAAGACATAAACACGATCTCCATGTTTAAAGTCAAGTAGAAAATTTAGGCAAGAGCAAATATTTATTCAGTACCTAATTCCATTTTTTGGTCCCAATAATCCGTACTAAAGTCACTATTCTCCTCTTTGCCTGGAACAGCACAGTCTCCATTAGTCTCAGCCCCATGGAGGGAGCATTCCCTTAGGACAAGACCCTGTGATTGAGCCCTGCGTGGGGACACAAAATTGTTGGTTTCTGTCTTTGAGTGACACTTAGTCTAATTCAGTACTTGAAGAGCCCTTAATTAGTTGAGTACGATCCCTGCCTATCAGACAATCCAAATGTCAGCCCAGGGACTCCTCAGTCACTTCCCACTTGAAATGCCAATGAAGCTCAGAAAGGGGTGTGGTGCTGGCCTCCAGCCATGCAGCTGTACTCACACCTGACAGTCAAAATTCTCTGGGAGCCCCAGAGTGTCAGGTGTGAGTAGAGCTGCATCGCTGGAAGCCAGTGACCCTCGTACACTGTTGGTGGGAAGGTAAATTGGTGCAGCCACTATAGAAAACAGTATCGAGAGTCCTCAAAAGATTAAGAATAGAACTACCATATGATCCAGCTATTCTACTTCTGGGTATTTATCCAAAGAATATGAAAAGACTAATTCGAAAAGATATATGCACCCCTATGTTCATTGCAGCATTATTCACAATAGCCAAGACTTGGAAACAATCTAAGTGCCTGTTGACGAATGAATGGATAAAGAAGATGTGGTATATATCTACAAGGGAATATTACTCATCCATAAAAAAGATGAAATCTTGCCATTTGTGACAACATGGATGAACCTTGAGGATATTATGCTAAGCGAAATAAGTCAAATAGAGAAAGACAAATACCGTATGATTTCATTCATATGTGGAAGATAAAAAATATATATATATAGATAAAGAGAACAGATTGGTGATTACCAGAGGGGAGGGGGGATGGGGAGAGGGCAAAAGGGGGAAACGGGGACATTTGTAGGGTGACAGATAGAAACTAGACTTTTGGTGGTGAACATGATATCGTGGATATAGAAGTTGAATTATAATGATGTACACCTGAAATCTATATAATGTTATAAACCAATGTTACCTCAGTAAAAAAAATTCTCTGGGAATGTTATATAAATGGCATCATACAATATGTAACCTTTTGAGACTGGCTTTTCTTTCTCAGCATACTTCCCTTGAAATCCATCCAAGTTGTTGAGTATATCAATAGTTTGTTTCTTTTTGTTGCTGAGTACTAGTCCATGATATGGATGTACCACAATTTCTTTATCCATTCACCTATTGAAGTATGTTTTGGTTGTTTCCAGTTTTTGGCTATTGGAAATAAGGCTGCTTTGAACATTCACATACAGGTTTTGTGTAAACATACCTTCTTATTTCTCTGGGATAAGTGCCCAAAAGTGCAATTTCTGGGTCGTATGGTGAGCACATATTTAGTTTTGTTAGAAACTGTTGTACTGTTTTCCAGAGTGGCTATACCATTTTACATACCCACCTGCAAAGATGATTGATCCAGTGTCCAATTCCTCACCAGTATTTGGTGTTATCACTATTTTTTATTTTAACCATCCTGATAGGTGTGTAGTGATATCTCATTATGGTTTTAATTTGCATTTCCCTGATGACTGATGACATTGAACGTTTTTTCATGAGCTTATTTGCCTCTGTGTATCCTCTTCCATGAAATGTCAGATGTTGTCTTTGCCCATGTTCTAATTGGATTGCTTGTTATTTTACTGTTTCCTTTTGAGAGCTCTTTATATATTCCAGATATAAGGTCCTTGTGAGATATGTGGTTTGCAAGTTTCCCTCAGTCTGTAGTTTATCTTTTCATCTGCTTCACAGAGTCTTTTGAAGAGCAAATATTTTTAATTTTGATGAGGTCCAGCTCACCAGGTTTTCCTTTTCTGGGTCATGCTTTGGGTGTCAAGTCTAAGACCTCTTTGTCTAATTCCAGGTCCTGATAATTTTCTCCTGTGTTTTTTTTTTCTAAAAGTTTTTTAACTTTTTGTCTTATATTTAGGTCTTTGATCCATTTGAGTTACTTTTTTTTACGATATGTGAGCTTTAAATCAAGGTTTGCTTTCTTGCTTGTAGATGTCCAATTGGTCCAGTACCATTTGAACAACACTTTTGTGAAAAGCAATTTGGCAATATTTATCATGAGCCAAAAGAATGTCCATTGTTTTTTCCTGTCACTTCTGGGAATTCTTCCTAAGGAAATAATGCAGAAACAGGAATGAAAGCTATAAGGTTGGAAAATAGTCACTGTAACATTTTTTATAAAATTGAAAAATTTGAAGTAATCTAAATGCCCAACAATAAGAGATTCGTTAAGTATGGCACACACATGGAATAATATGCAACAATGAAAAATCTATTTATTCAGTAACTTTTATTACCCATTAGTAAATATTTACTCAGTATCCGTAAGTGTTGGTGCCAAAGATAACGTGGTGAGCAAATTAGATATCATCCCTGCCTTCTAGAAGCTCACAGTCTAGAAGGGAGGATAGAGAAAACAATTTTGCCACTTAGAAAAGTACATTTGGTAATCTAAGGGAAAAAACAGGAAACAAAATTGTATGCACAAGGTGATTGAAACTACATTAAAATACATGCATATGGAAAAGAAAAAAAATCATCATTCTTTTAGAGTGATTGGATCAAGGGCAATTTTTTTCATCCTCTATTTTCCATACCTCCCATAGCACTTTCTTTTTATAATAATAACAATGATAAAGAGAAACACTTCAAGTGAGAAATAGCTTCTTGCCATGAGAAGTTAGGAATGTCCCTTTGCAGAGGTGACAGGCACATATTCAACAGTCCAAAGGGCACAGAAAAGGCCACCACAGAGAGCTAGGTGTCCAGCGCCCAGCTAAGTCATGCTAGATGATTCAGTCAGTGAGCAAGTGTCAATGGGGCATCTGCAAGGTGACTTGTATCACGTGAGGCACTCGGAATATGTGTTTAAGAATAGACAGTCCCTGACATCTCAGGACACTTGCAAGGAACTCGGATCTCAGTCTTGCTCATGCTTATTTGGTGCTTCATACATTGCAGCTTGCGCGTTCCCTCATACGATCCTCTCAACAAAACTGTACAGTTGTTAGGGTATAATTATCCCCATTAGTCAAACAATAAGGCATAGAGAGCTTAAGCAATTGCCCAAGGTCACACAGATCATGAATGGCAGGCCTGGGGCTTGAGACCTGGCCTTCTATCTCTAAGGCCAGTGCTGTTCTCAAAATACCACAACGGCCTCAAGAACAGCTGTGATAACAGTGGGCTCAAAGCAGGCAAACGGTCCACAGATAGCTGTAACTAGAATTTAAATCATGTGGATGAGAAAGCATATACCTAGGGCAGGGGATGGGTTCCTCTCTCCGGGGGATTGGTGGTTCAAGGCGGTGAGTGGAATGTGATACAAACACCTGGGCTCACCTCTCCTCCCTCTTCCCAGATGGTGAAGGCAATCCAGGTCCTGAGAATCCACCTGCTGGAGTTGGAGAAAGTCAATGAACTCTGCAAGGACTTTTGTAATCGTTACATCACCTGCCTCAAAACCAAGATGCACAGCGATAACCTGCTCAGGAATGACCTCGGGGGGCCCTACTCCCCCAACCAGCCCTCCATAAACCTTCACTCCCAGGTAACACGCAGGGCTGGGTCCTAAGCCAGGCTCATAAGCCAGGTGTAGGAATGTCTAAAGTTCCTTGGGTGACCTAGGAAAGTGGATTAGACTCACTGGATCCTTTCACCTCGAGGGCCCTCCTCTGATCTACTCCTCCTCCTAGTCATCAGGCAGCACAGTCCCTTTTTTACCAGAGCTCACCATGCCAGGGCATTAGTATTCTCTAGCAGATAACCAGATCTGAGAGAGACAATATCCAACATGATTCCTGGCTTCCTGACCCAAGATATCCCGAGAAATGAGCACAAGAGTTAAGGAGATGGAAAGCTTTTCTGGAGGATGAGGCACGGACAGAGGATGACCCAGACATCCTAGCCCCACAGACGTCTCAAGAGAGCTGCTGCCGGCTGAGCTCCCTGTGTTCCTGGGAGGGAGGGTTTGGGGAAAGTAGTTCTTCCCCGAATCCTGCCCACCTAATAGACGAAGACAGATCCCCATGGGACTGTTTCTCCCTGAGCATTCTCTAGTTGCTCACCCTACTCTGGCACATCTGTCTCCCTAAGGTTCAGGGCCACTGTAAATGTCACCTCAGGTCACCCCCTCTCAAGATTCACCTGCCAGCTTCATCCTGGGAACTGGGACATGTGGAAATGGTGACTATGTGCTCTTAGCAAGAATGGGCTCTGCTCTCTAGGCAGAATATTTTCCCAAACCTATAAACAAAGAAAGCTGCCTGGCTGTACCTTTCCACCAAACTCACTGGCATCTACATAATCCATAGGCTCACCACTTTCTTCCTCTCCCACTGAGTTCCTTAGCCCGGGACAGACACAGGGAGGGTCCCCCAGGAGGTTTAGAGGAGGCTCTTCGCATGAGACAGTCGGGCTTGGGGGTATGGGTAAACATTCTAAGGATGATTGGCAAGAGGTGTGGGAAAAAGTTCTAAGAAAGGTGGCACCATTTTGATCCCTAAGTTTTAAGGACCAACACACATAATCTATCTCCAGGTTGGCAGAGACAGGGGAAGGGTCAGGGTGACCTCTAGAAGGCCAACCGTGCCTTGCATATTTTACAACAAGTATCACATCAAACCCACCGGGTGGGATGGGCCTCTGTGGGACTTGACAGTGAGTACTGCATGGGACATGAGGCAAGAAGTTTATTTCCTCTTCCCATTGCTTGAAATCACCAAATCACTTTATTACAGATCTAAAAACAGCCGCCCAGGCTTCTGCTTGCTAATATTCTCTTGAAATAGACTCATTCCTTCAGAGTCTTATTGTACTTTCCCTTATGATCAAAATTAGCAAGAAACTTGCATAAAAGAGGACAATAATTGCTCAACGAGCATCTCGTTTGTAATTTATTAGTTTCTATTATTGTGGGTTACCATGGCGACGCTGCACAGCCCCGGTGACGGGAGAGATGCAAGATAGGAGCCGAGGAGTCTGTGAGGCCTTACCAAATGGAGATGCACATTTTTATCAGTAATTTTCATGAAAATAATAAGTGAGGAGTTAATGAGATGGAAAGCCATCCTGTGGCTATTGTGAATTTTTTTTTAAGTGTTGATCTAATTAGAATGCATCGGTCAGGAAAAGTAATGAGGATTTAGTGCCTCGCAGAGATGTGAGGATCATATCAGAAAATTAGCACAAGTCTTTGGAAATAATCAGGTCCTTGGAGAGGCACTGGATTTCCCCTCTTGGGCCCTCCAAGTCTACCTCAAGCTCTGGCATTGGGGGTAGTGAGAGAAGAAAGGAGGGCCAGAGGGCTTAGCAGCCACAGCGGCCCCCTCAGGGTTGGGGTCCCCGAGCTGAGAAGTCAGTCTGCAGAAGCAGGGTCACTGGGGACACGAGGTTGGCTGAGAAGGATAACGTGGGCTCTGGGTGAACCGGGTCTGAGATGCTGCCTGCAAAAGTCAGTCCTCCTGGGGAATCCCAGTATTCAGCGCCTCTGAGCTTTGAGAAAAGAGGAAAGAACTTTGATTCCTATCACTGTAAGCATCAGATCTCTGCCTGACCATGAAGCCAGCCCTGGGGCGGCCACTGCAGAAAGGCCTCTGATCCGCTTAGAAAGAGGAACTCAGGCAAAGACAGTCTGGCAAAACAAAGACCCCAAGAAAGAGAGGAGAAGACACTTAGCCAGGTATACCTATTTGGTATTTCTCAAACTTGTCCCTTCATTTCCTCTGACTGCTGCCACCTACTTAGTTCGGGCTTCGGCAGGTAAATAAGGTAATTACACACACGTTACCGCCATAGCTTCCTAACCTGCTCTCCTGTCTTCTCTGGCGTTCCCTCAGCCCTCCTACACACACACACATGCAGTCACACATGCACACTCACATACTCACACACACATACGCATACAAACACTTCTTAAACTTCGGCTGCTGGCTTTATCTTCCTAAAGCTCTGTTCAGGTCATTCTCCTGCTCAGAAACTCTGATTGCCCCCCAGGGTTTTCATATCCTTTCACCTGACATTCAAGGCCCTCCTAGGTCTGGCCTCAGCCTTCCTTCTGGAGGTGCTGCAACCATTCTTGCATGCCCTTTGTTTGAGTGACACTCTCAAATCTCTGCGGGACCAAACCCCGCCTCTTCCCCAAGGACAGTAACAGGCCGCTCTCCCATGGAGGCCTCCCTGACCTCCCCCGCAGAATGGACTTTTCTTTCTCTCAACTAACTCTTAGAGCACTTCGGGCCATTTATATGGTAAACATCACATGTGACTTTGTATTATAGTCACTTGTATAAGCCTCATTTTTCTCTCCTGGATAACAAACATTATTGGAGTAGAGAGAGTATTTTATGTATTATTATAACCCACACCTAAAGGTGGCTACCACAGTGTCTTGTGCATGACAGACGGCCAGTAAATATCTATTGAAACAAGTAATACACTGAGAAAGATGGAGAGAGAGAGATCAAGAGAGACAAGAGGAAGCCAAAGGAGGCAAGGAGAAATAAAAGAAAGATCAAGGGAAAGAAAGACAAATGTTGAAAGTCAGCATTTACCATTCAAGAGGGAGGTAGAGAAAGGCTGAAGAATTGGCGGAAGAAAGCAACAAAAGGAAAAAGAGAGAAAAAGACATAGACCTAGGGAGAGGAAGGGAAGAAAGACAGAGGCAGGCAAGAGGAATGGCAGCACTAGTGAGGTGAAGAAGGGGCGGGCGAGATGGCTGTGGAGTCAGGGCAAAGTCTGCGGTGTGTGGAGGAGAAGGTGAGCAGGACATGCCGTGTGCTATCCGCATCACAGTCCCAGGTCAGGTTCCTGTCACTGTCTCGCTGAGGTAGGTGGGGACTAATATAGGCCTTCCCACAAAGGAGAGACCAAGAGACTTTCCGTGCAGGAGGCAGACACAGGATCGGGGATCAGGGCACAGGAGCCAGCATGGGAGAGCAGAGAGAAAAGGAGTGTCGGGGGCGTGTCTGTGTGTGTGTGTGTGTGTGTGTGTGTACGCATTCGTCACGGTTCAACCTTAATCCCCCCAGCCTGAAATAGCCACAGTGAGCGCCAGCCTGGCCCAGGGAGGGGTGTCTCCCCTCTGGAACACGATCCTCTGGATCAACATTCCAGCCACCCCACCAGCTTTGTTGCAAACTGCTGGCTCATGGTTTTCCCTGCATGCTAATCATTTGGTCTTGTGTTGCAAAGTGAGAGATTTTTTTTTATTCAAATTGGTCGCCCCCTTCAGATGCCATACTGTGTGCCCATCCAGCTCTATGGGGTCTGGGCAAATTCCCTACTTGGTCTTCTATTTCTCTATGTGAGTTTTCTCTTTAAAGGCAGAATGGGGGTAGGGAGAGGGGGAGACTGCAGCTACCAAGCAGGAGAACTAAAACAGAGTTTCCAGGGGCCAGCCAGATGGCGCAGTGGTTAAGTTCGCGCGTTCCCCTTCAGTGGCCTGGGGTATGCAGGTTCGCATCCCGGTCGCGGACCTACTCACTGCTCATCAAGCCATGTTGAGCTGGTGTCCCATATAGAGGAACTAGAAGGACCTACAACTAGGATATACAACTATGTACTGGGACTTTGGGGAGAAAAAAGAAAAAAGAGGAAGATTGGCAACAGATGTTAGCTCAGGGCCAATCTTCCTCAAAAAAAAAATCTTAAAAAAACAAAAAACAGAGTTTCCAAGGACTTGGGCCACAGCTAGTCCTTTCTACCTCCCTAGGAAGCCCTCCTGGACTGCCTGTACCTAATGACATGCAGGCATCCTTACTCCTTAGAGCCCAGGCTTCTACAGGGGCAGCATCCTCAGGAAGCAGGCTCATTCTAGACTGAGGGTTCTCCTGTCTTCTCCTCAAGGGCACAAACCAAACCATTCACTAGAGAGGACCTACTCCCACATCGCTCTAGTATTAATTTGACTTGAAATTCGTCCCTCTTTCTCCATGGAGATTTGAGCGTTGGGCATTTCAGGGCAGGTCCGACTGAGCCACAGTTCTCATTTTGTCACCATGCATGTGAGGGACGCTTGCTGTATGCACTGTGCTAGGTCCTGTGAGAACACAGGTGAATTGTCCAGGAGGAGCTCCCAGTCTCAGTGAGAGGGAGCTATGAGTCACACGTGAGGATCCAGATAAAATATGTGAGCCATAGAAGGCTCAAGAGCAAGGAACACTGAGGAAGGGCAGGAAAGGAGCAGCCAAAGAGACCAGAAGAGGAGCCACAGGAAGGGTCTGGATTGAGCAAACCACATGCATGGCTTGAGGTTGCCCCAGTCACCACTCAGCATCCTTCTTCCTCGCCCTGCCCCCCTCCCCAACCCTCCGCCCCCCTCCCCTGCGAAAGCCCAGGCCCCAGCCTGCATGGCTCACGGCCAGGGTCTGTTCCTGCCTAGGGACAGAATGAACAAACTTCAGTAGAGATTAGATAGGCCAGCAGGAGGATTTTGCCCATTGTGTTTGGAGAAAATGCAGATTCACTGGCTTTGGGAGGACTTCTTGGGTGAGGAGACATTTCAGGCAGGCTTGGGAGGTGGAGGGTTAGTAGGTTGTCTGGGAGCTCTAA